TTTTTTTATAATTTTGAAAAGTTAACAGATGTCATAGTTTGTTTTAACTATTAATTGGACTTTATTTCACCTACTTTTACGAAAACAGTTGATTGCACCCAGATAAAGCCATGAATAATTCGAAATACTACTTACTTCACTGTTTACAAAGTGTTTTGAGTCGTGACTTACAAAAACACGTAATAAATAGCTTGTAATAAAAATATTTTAATAGCAAAGTTCAACAGACCAAGCCAATACGCTAGTGGCAGAGAGCGAGACATGGAAAAGCCTATTGGAACGGTTCACATGTCCTTATTAGCTATTAACTAATTTCTTGGACATCCAGGTTTCCTCACCATGGGTTGGTTTAACGCCAAGCACGTGTTATTCAGCACCTTAAATTGGAATAAGCAATTTGTTGGTAGGGAACGAACTCTCTATACCAACTATTAGACTACTACTACTAAACCTATAAATGCTGGAAAAAGATATAACTGTTCCGTTTAGAATTTCAACGTACAATGAGTGAGTTTAGCATAATATAAAATCTTCGCCGCATTTCGTCATAACGTTCACTTCAAACACGATTTGCAAATGCATTTTGTTAATGTATTTATTCGGGCTCATTCCCTAAAATTGCATCATAATAAGTTCCATCGTAATTATAGTTATCGTATCTTTGTTTTAGTTCATTCGCGGTATATTATGTATCTTATATTATTTTTCTATATATATTTATATATATATATATATATATATATATATATATATATTGTTTATGTCTTTTGAAACCGCCTTCATAGTTTTATCACCGCCCCGAGGTTGACAGGCAGTCAACAGTCAACAACTGAAGCAAAGAATATATACACTACGCGAAACTGAAGTGAGTTTCAGTAAAATTTAAATAAATAAATGAATATTCCTTTCATATTTTTAATATGATTTTTATCTTGACCACATAGGGAATTCAAAAATTCATCCGAATAGTGAATATCATATTTTGTTCCATATATGTTATATTACACTGTTCCATATATTATATGATACTGTTTTTTCACATCAATATAAAGTGTTTTTAATTTTTTATTTGAAATATATTTTATGCATGGCTATATATTTTCATAATATTTTATTTCCGTCGTGATAAATAGGAGAAATTAGCATTAATAGGGAGTAAAATTGTGAAAATAAATTTATTATCTGACTAAATTACTTTTCCACCTTGGCAATTGTATCGTTAACGTTTTACTTTTATTTGGACTCATTTAAAATAATACTTAATCGACTATTCCATCTAAAATCACTTAGGTAGAACTTACTACTCCTAAAGCTTTACGGTATTGGTATATTTAAGAAATCTGCAGCACGCCTTACAACGCGCGAGCATGTGGGATTGCTCGTAAATAGAGCATGCCGTTATGTGACGATTTTGCAATATAAAATTGTTTACATGTCTCAATTTAGACACTAAATGAATATAAAGGTATTTAAAGTAAAGGATACATAAAATTACAAAGAAGCGTATTTTTTATTAATTTCTTTACTTATATTTACAAAATATGTGGTTAAATAATATGAGTACGGATGTTTTTAGTCTGTGCACTTGTTTGTCTTCAAATTTCAGAAAAATATATCCAATGAATATATAAACCTTTCCAATTAAGTTTAATTTATCCTCAGGATAATCCCTATGCTGATTGTTATGAAACTCATAAACCTTTAAATGATATTTATTTTTATTATAAAAATAAACACGCTTACGAGGCTCGTACAGTTTTGGATTTTTCAAAATTTAATTTAATTCGTTTAATTTTTCCTCGCTGATGACGAAAAAGCCGTAGATAATAATTTTATTTGCCGTTTCTCTGACAAATTTCTCACTACCTACATATAATGAACCAAAAAACTATTCATGGAGGTCTTCGTAGCGTGATCAGTGTGTTGTAGTTACGGACCCTTGTTATTTTTATCAAATGATAAAATGTATTCAGTTTTATTAAATAATAACTTGATTCTACTAAACCATATCATTCCATGGTTGTCATAAGAGGCGACAGAAGGAAACTGATACAGATGATGAACGATAGAATTTACGCGCTTGGAGACGGTGCACGCTCCGACTACAAGTTTGTGAATGGTGGTGTTCTACAAGGATGTGTGCTATCGCCTAATTTGATCCTTCTGCATATCAATGATACTTTTAACATCGTGCAGACGACAGAGGTGGCGGTGATCACTTACCATAAGAAGAGCCGCGTGTCCGTTTGCCTCCTCTTCCATTAAAAAATAAAAATAGAAACTGCAATTGCCAACCCTCCAGTCAAGCTATTTCAAAATGCTCTATTGCAACTAATATATGACATAATTTAAAGAGAAGCTAATGAGTACGTTTTGTGTAGTTTTATGGACTTCAGATAGGATGTGACAAATGAAGAAATATATAAAAGCCAGAATCGCTGACAACCTCACCAGGTTCATTGCATTCTACTCTGCTAAACGACTGGTGCTATAAACATTAATATCCCTAAATTCTGAGATGGACACCAGCCAAGTCTAGAGTCCGCTTGGATCTCCCCATTATTACGACAATTTTATATGTAAATAAAGTTATATATTAAATTTTAGCAGACTCACTACAATAAAAATAATATATGACGATAATAAATCAATATTATTTTTTTATTTTTTAAGATTGTAATCTTGTTTTGTGTCTTAGTTTTATTTTATTTTAAATAACGGATGACTGTATATATTAACTTATTTTATGTCATATAATATATGGATATTTCTTTTCATTTTCGATGTAAAGGACAAATTATTACCGAAATTGTATGTCAATTAATAAAATCAGGCGTGACTTTGCGGAAATACATTATGTGGAAAGCTATAGGGATGTTAAATTTATGCGGACTTGGGCTAAGTAATTTGAACTCCCCGTTTAGTGAAGGTGTGAGAATATCCACTACCCCATATCATCTCATGGGTGTCGTAATAGGCGGCAGAGGTAAACAAACCAGGAGATGAGCAGCATAGTTTCCTAAAAGAGATAGGAAACTGCAGTTGCCAACCCGCTTGCCAAGCTTGGAAACTACGAAAAATACTTTATATGAGGCAATCTATGGGGATATGGCCTAATGGTAATTTTAGTATCTTCCATCTTACAAATGTTATGCTGTAATACCACATTATATAAAGATGTAATTAATTCATCAAACGCTGATTTTTAACATTTTTAATTATTGTTCGGGCAATATGCTATATAGTTTATTCTATCCTCGTTAGCACTGGTGGACGGCCCGTGGCTACGCTGAAATAATTTTAAACGCCAAAACCTTTGGCGACCGCAATTCGTTAACGAGGTTTAAAAGCAATTTGCTACTTACTTGAATTTGCTGCAATGATGGAACTTATATCCGTAAAATTTTCGATATAAAAATGACATACATAAACACTCACGCCCAGAGGGGTAGGCAGAGACTACAGACTTCCATTTGGCACGATCCTGACACACCTCTCTCGCTTCCTTCACATCCATACACCTACGCGTACATGCTCGTCGGTTAAGGGTACTCCTATTTGGCCCGTTTTCAGTAAATCTCCAATTTGGTCGATAAATTTTCGCCTAGGACGACCCTTTCCGACTCTGCCATTCACTTCTGCAACATAAATTTTCTTTGTCACTCTTTCCTCATTCATTCTTTCCACATGAACAAATCACCGAAGCATTCCTTTCTTAATCCTGGTCACAACATCATCTTGCAAACCACACTCTTCTCTTATTACACAATTTCTTACCCTGTCGTTCAGATTCAGCCCTAACATACTCCTTAAGGACCGCATTTCTACTGCGTTGATTCTACTCTCGTGCTTCTTCTGCCACACCTAACTTTCACTACCATACGTTAGTAGGGAGCATTGTGTATTGCATAGTGCCTTTGACACATTTTGACTCTTCACTATAGAGTGCAGGGCCCCATTTACTCTATTTCCCTCATAACTTGATTCTACTAAACCATATCATTCCATGGTTGTCATAAGAGGCGACAGAAGGAAACTGATACAGATGATGAACGATAGAATTTACGCGCTTAGAGACGGTGCACGCTCTGACTACAAGTTTACCATATGTCTACGCGCCTCGATCTCGGCATGCAGACACCAGTGCCCTGTTTATAGTTTATTTAAAATAATAATTTGTAAATTTTTATTTAAATATTTTTGTTGACATAACATAAAACTGTGGTTTAATAAAATTATATAAATAATAGACAGTTACCTAATTAACAAACTAAACCGATAGTATTTCTTCTGAACGATCAAAGAATCAATGACCTTGCCTCCCTGTGCCTTTTTTGACACATTTTGACTCTTCACAATAGAGTACAGGGCCCATTTACTCTATTTCCCGCATAAAAAATGAGCTATATATTATTTTTTATTTTATGTTTTTATTTTTAAAATTTAAGTTACAAGTGAACTAAGGGTTTAGGCGTGTGTATGGTTTTAGGGGTGATTTCGATGAATTATAAGAATGCGTAACTCCAAAATATGTTTATTTTTTGTTTTAATGTCATCTATCGGTAAATATTAAAACGCATCTGATAGTATACTTCGTATCTCCCGCGGAAAGTTGTTTAAAAAGTTGTTCGACATCTATAAAAATACGTAACTCCACGACGCCATTTTGTTGTTTGCAATATTCGTACGGTGTGGGCGTCACGTCGTCGGTTAACTTTTTAGACAAATATCTGATAAATATGATTATTTAGATAGAATAGAGTAGAAGGTGAGATTATTTCATGTTATTATTTGATCTAGCTATTAAATTTTGCAATTAATAAGCGAAATTAGTTATTTTGCTATGAGATGGAGTTAAGAAGTTTGATTGTTTGCTTAGCTTTGCGTTGTGACTGTTTACCATGGAGATACGAACTTTGAATTTATTGAATAGTAATTTGTTTTTTACTTTGTCTAACTCTAAGCATTATTTTCGTTGTTTTAGTTAAATACATACCTACATGATTTTGCAAAATTCACGTGCCGCAAAAATACTCCGGAATATTCCGCCCGAAAAACTGAGCATCGAACCAGGATGCTACGTGATACAGTGTGACAATTCAATAGTGTTGGAAGATCAGCCGCAGCTCATGGTTAGAAATGATGGATCTCATCAAGGATCCACAAACAGAGATTCTGCAAGTAGCATTCCTGTTGTATTAGATTCAGATCTACAGTCATCAATAACTGAATGTGTTACTCTGAATCCCATAGAAACGGTTGAACCTGTAGTGGTACAGTGTGACAATTCAATGGTGTTGGAAGATCAGCCGCAGCTCATGATTAGAAATGATGGATCTCATCAAGGATCCACAAACAGAGATTCTGCAAGTAGCATTCCTGTTGTATTAGATTCAGATCTACAGTCATCAATAACTTAATGTGTTACTCTGAATCCCATAGAAACGGTTGAACCTATAGTGGTACAGTGTGACAATTCAATGGTGTTGGAAGATCAGCCGCAGCTCATGATTAGAAATGATGGATCTCATCAAGGATCCACAAACAGAGATTCTGCAAGTAGCATTCCTGTTGTATTAGATTCAGATCTACAGTCATCAATAACTGAATGTGTTACTCTGATTCACATAGAAACGGTTGAATCTGTAGATATTTTTACGCCGAGGTTATCAGAAGAACACACTAAACCAGGATGCTCCGTGGTACTAACAGATAATTATAAAGTATTCAGGGACTGCCCCTTTAACATCTTAATTAATAATGATAGATCTATCTGCCGAAGATACACGAGCCAAGATTCTTTAAAAAGCATCAGCTCTGTTTCATTAGATTCGGATCTAACGTCATCAGAAACAGTTGAGCAGACTATCACTACCTCGTCACCGCCTCCAAGAAAAAGACAAAAGAAAAGTGAACCCCACCAATGGGACGCAAATAAAAACAAGGAACAAAGAGAAAAAGGTAAGGCTTATTTAGGAAAGAAGAAGAGAGGAAATAAATGGGGCTTTATTGAACCTAAGCCCGCGAGAGAGATGAAAAGTAGATGCAAATGCAAATTAAGCTTGAAAGGGGATACCAAGATGCACTGTGATAAAATACCAGAAGAAGAAAGACAAACAATGTTTTAGAAGTTTTGGAAAATGAGTTGGAAGGAAAAGAAGGTGTTTGTTAAAATGTCTTCGGTTTCTAAGAAAAAAGAAAGAGAGAGGTGTGCTGGTACATCATCTAGGTGGAAAAACTCTGTAGAGTTATATTTAACTGATAGCACGGGGATTCGATTTCGGGTCTGCAAAACCATGTTCCTTAACAGTTTAGGTGTTGGGGAATGGGTGATAAAGAAGTGGATTATTAATGAAGAGATCCCAAAGATGCACCGAAAAATAATACCAAAGTGGAAGCTAAAAACCGGTTACGCAAGTTTTTTGATTCCATGCCAAAACTTGAATCACACTACTGCCGAAAAGACTCATCAAAGTTGTATCTTGAACCAATCTGGACATCAAAATCTCAGCTCTATGAAACTTACAGAAAAGACTTCTGTGTCAGAGAGAACCTTGAGCTATTAAGCATTACCACCTTTTTCAACATGTGTGAAGCACTCAATTTGTCTTTATTTAGCCCAAAAAAGGACTTGTGTGATATTTGTGAGTCTTACAAAGCTGGTAATGTTTCAGATATTGACTATAAGACTCATCGTGATAAGAAAGACGAGGCTCGAAAAGAACTCGCTAAGGAAATTTTCACGGAACACGAAGTCCTTACCATGGATTTACAATCCGTGCTTTTAAGCCCACGTTCGAATGTTTCGCCACTCTACTATACGACCAAACTCATTGTGCATAATTTCTCACTTTACGATTGTAAAAGAAATTGGGGCTACTGTTATATTTGGAACGAATGCGAAGGAAAACTGACGAGCAATGAATTTTCGACTATAATCGTGACAGCTCTCGAAAAGTTGAGGACACAAAACACAACGCAACATAATAAGGAAATAATTATCTACAGTGACGGTTGTACCTACCAGAACCGAAATGTGGTACTATCGAATGCTCTACTGAATTACAGCATGGAAAAGAAAGTAACCATCAAACAGAAGTACCTCGAAAAAGGGCATACGCAAATGGAGTGCGATAGTATGCACTTGGTCATAGAAAGAGCGTTAAAAAATAAAAAGATAAATATTCCGGTCGACTATGTTTACATAGCCAAAACTGATTGCAAGAAAAATCCCTATGACGTACAGTATCTCTATCACCACTTCTTTAAAGATGTTGAACATACTTTGGAGTTCTACAAATCAATCAGACCTGGAAAAAAACAGGTGACCCTACAGTCACAAACATAAGGGCTTTCAAGTACACTCCAGATGGAAGAATTGAGTTCAAGTTGAGACATTCAGCTACTGATTGGGAAGGGCTCTTAACAAGAACTAAAACAATCAGTTTCATTCCATGGGATACTGTTCCTCAGCTTTATTCGGCAAGGCTGAAGATTAAAAAAGAGAAGTATCAGGATCTTCAGAACCTCAAGCATACCATGGAGAAAGATTATCATAACTTCTATGATAACCTACCACATACCTAACTACTTAAACTATGATGTGGTAGGTAGGTACCTACCAAGATTATAAAAGTTATGATAACCTACCCCACTTAAGGTACACTAAGGCCTTCCTACATTTATCTGATTACTACCAAGTATTGTTAAATGTACCTAGTTTTATTTACTTTACACATTCCAAAGAGTGAACAATTATTGTTAAAAGTAATTTTATTTGTAAGACATTAGAGACTGATGAAAGTTATTGATTTTTATGTTACAAGAGTTTTTTTTAATAGATGTTCCTATTATGTTATTTGATTAATAAAAAAACAAAGGTGACTCTAAGAGAGCATTATTTTTTCGTTAATCCCCCCCTATATAAAAATGGAATAATAAAACTGCGTAAGTCATCTGCGTTGTATAAAAACTGATAAAAATGTAAACGTAAAACTGCGTATATCCTAGAAAAAGTCGTAAGTCCAACTTGAATAAAAATTAAAACTCGTAAGTCCATTATTTTATAAACTACCTGCAAAATCAATAATATTCTTAGTAAAAATGAATCTACACTCATTTTGAACTCAAAGTAACAGCGACTTTATAAAAATATCTTGATATAAAAACAAAAAACTGTTTTTCGTTGCTCCTGTAAAATTATCTCATTCGGACTTATGAATTTTGATAATTAGGTCGACGAAATACAACTTACAATCTCAGCCGCGTAAGCGGTTTGTGACACCTTTGTTTTAATTTCTCAGTATGTTCATTGGAACGTTTTTTCGATTACGTTGTATAATGGTACCTAGTTTTAACCATGCATGAAAATGATATCGTAAATAAAATGAATTTAACTTTCAACCATCCAATAATTTGTACCTCTAAATATAGATTGTTACATTCAATTTTAAATTCATTTTGTAAAAGTATTATACTTTTACATAGGTACATTAACAAAAAATCATTAATTAAGTTAATAATTTCGAAAACTCAAAATGCAATTTTATTTTAAACAGATAACATAGTTTTGGGTTTCGTTGTCTTTTATAGAGAAAACACGTACCTAAAAAAATACAATTACATTAATAATTTATAATAATAGTCTATCGATAAACTCCGGACTTTATTTTATAAGCAAAATATAAACCAAATATTGTTTAAAATGTACAAATTTTACATAAAACTTCAACTTTCTTCTTCAACATCATATGACACAAAAATTCAACTAGATTTACTGTAAATATTAATTAATATGTTTAAATATGAAAAAAAATCTCGTAAATTCATATACAAATGTGGTTAAACAATTACGCGCACAATACATACACACACAACACATTTTCGCGTAGCTGTGTAAATCGATCCCTATAGTTATTTCATGTGTAACTTGTTAGTAGCATTTTGGGTAGCATTAACAGCCCTAATACAGAAATGCAAAATAACTACACACTTTCTTATTTGCTCGGGGTTCCCCTTATTATCCTGTATTTTTGTCGATTAATAGGCCTTTTTTCCATAATTCTTGTACTTACTTTCTTTTCTTCTTCTTAATATTTTTGACCTTTAGCTAGCTCTCTTTCTCTCTATTTACTTATATATTTATTTATTTATTATTAGATACCGGGAATCGGAGTATTAATTCATTTCATTTATGTTTTATTTCGTGATATTATCACACGGGTACTTTATAAATATGGGCCCCCATTTATTTGGGTATTATATTCCATTTTCGTAACATTCATTTCATTTTATTGGTACATAAATTTTTTATCGTAATTATATCAAGGTAAAAGTGTACCTTGGGTTGTGCGCACAACCTTGAGGTCAACGTTTAAGTCATTTTAAAAGGGCTCCAACAATTGTCACGGAGGAAAACTAAGTTCACACGATGATTCAATGAAGGACATGACCTCTATGTACCATTATTAAGGGTAACAAATTTAAGACTTCTCTGGTCCCTAACAGTACTAATAAGAGTAAACTCGTGTACATCACTTGTACTGAAGGTAATATTCCCTAGTACCCTTTACTCCCGATTTTATAATCCAATCACGGAAACATACCCTGCTCGAGGACTCTATGTTATACCAGTGGTGGACGTTTCCGTATCTCTCCATTACCTATTTATTAAGGTGAGTTATTTTCTTTTATATCTATCCTTTCCATGCATAATTCTTGCTCCTAACGGCTTCAATGCTAATAGTTTAAGCATCATCAAATATTTGAGTGATCAGTCCAATAATGACGAAACTTAACCACTCAACCATTCGTATTCCGATTTTTGAACATTTCTTTCTTTCATTCCTCACACATTTTAAATACATCCTTGCTAATTTTTATACAAAATGGGATAATATTTTTTTCAGTTAAAGTTTAACTCAGTTAAGAAACATTACAATTAAAACTCTCTTAGGCAGGCGACGTACATACTTTATAATAGAATAGCATTTTTGTTGTCAGTTTCCCTTTCCGTTTTAATTACGTTGTGTAACCTACTAAGGATATGCTGTATTATGTACATGTGTATGTTATGGTTATTATTCTTTATAAGTAGAACTCTGATACGATAACGACCTCCTTAGTAACAAATAATATTTTTTTGAATTACACGTCATTTTTTTTTAAATATAACTTCATATAAAATTTGAGATAATATTGAGATAATTTGACATAAACACAGAAACAGGTAATGATAATTGGTTGTAACATATGTAATTTATAATATACATATAATGATTAACAAATTAATTATTATAACAAGTATATGCCATTGAGCTATAATGATAATCTTACGTTGGTATTATCTCTCATGTGGTACATAATTAATTAGTTATCAAATAAATTGAATAATATTGAATAATTTATGTGTTGTTAAAATTTGTATATATATTGTTATACATGGCCATTAATATTTGCACATTACTATAGTAGACAATGTAGAACTAATTATACTTAAACGCCATTGTACAACCATATTGTTGCAAAACAAAGGTTATTGTTATCATTATTAAGTAGTTATTTACCGATTAATTATTGCGTTTTTCCTATTTTTAATGAATGATTTAAAAAATTTCTTTCCCCAGTTCTATGTATAACGACACTATTATATAATTAAACTTACATTCGGTGCTTTCGAGATGTCTTGTACCTGTTACAGAACTTGGCTAGTCGCTCGTTGTACCCCTGACTTCTTTCTGCTGCTCTGGCACTCGAAGATGTTAGCTCCCTGATGTGGTTGGGTCTGGACTTCCTCGTAAGCTTCTTTTTTCTTAACTTCTTTACTCTTCTCTTGAAGGAAATTTGATTAAGAAGTTTTCGGTTCTTGGAATCTTCTTTCTTGGAACTTGTCAACCTTGATTATGCTGTTAAAACAATGTTACTGGAGCTTCTTGTATAATTTGTTTTTCAGGTCTTTTCTTCATTTCTTCTATAACAGTTTTTCTTTAAGTATATTATAGGCTTCGATTTCTCAAAAAAGTCTCTTCTTATATTCGTAATTAAAAATTTAAGTGTCACATCCGGTATAATGTTCTTTTTGTTATTATATATTTATTTTGATTTAAAAATTAATTTATCTTCTTCGATAAATTACTTCAATTTCTATGCAGGTTCCGGTGGTGCACTTGCATTGTAGCAGCGCACTGCCTGGCAAGGTCGCCATATAATGTTGGGAGGTTCGGGGAATAAATGATACGTCTAGTGGTCTTGACTGTAGATTTATTACTAACTCTCTCTTATTCTATCCTACATATATATAAGCACACACTACATCCGGCCCTTTAGAAAGGAGTAAGCTCTTTTCTTGAAGGTCCCCAGGTCGTATCGGTCCGGAAAAATCCCCGGTGCTAAACATTATTCCACAGAGAGGTTGTACGAGGAAGATAGCTCCTTTTGAAACGTACAGTAGTGGACCGCCAAGCATCCAGATGGTGTGGATGGTATCGGGGCGTTTGCCGCGTAGTGCGTTTACGAAATTTGGCAGCTGGGATTAATCCCAACAATTCCTGAGAGCACTCTCCATGGTATATGCGATAGAAAATGCAAAGATATGCAACATTTCTTCTCAGCGCCAGTGAATCGAGCCGATCGGAAAGCACTTGGTCGTCCACGATTCGAGCCGCTCTGCGCTGGATGCGGTTAAGTGGAAGAAGCTGGTACTGGGGAGCCCCAGCCCAGAGATGGGAACAGTATTCCATGTGCGGTCGAATCTGCGCCTTTTAAAGTTGCAGGCAGTGTACCGGCAAGAAATACTATCCCGCTGAGCACGCCAAGCTTTTTAGAGGCCAATTTGGCCTTCTTTTCCAAGTGACCACGAAACTGCGCGTCACTCGATATGTCGACGCCGAGGATTCCGATACTGGCTGAGGAAACAAAGGGAGTGCCTTGAAACTGAGAAAATACGACAAAGGGGGGGGAGCATCACCAGTGCTGTCATCTGCATAGCAATGAATGTTACGAGTTTGCAACATATCATTGATACGCAGAAGAAACAGCGTTGGCGATAGCACGCAGCCTTGTGGAACACTTAATAGGCTTGCACCGTCTACAACGACCTTGATGCTCCGAACTGCAATAAAGCTAGTGATTCAATCGCACAATTTCTCGGGAAGCCCATAGGTAGCTTCGAAAGAAGCGCTTTGTGTCCAAACTAACGGCCAATGCCTCCCCCTTGGACTCTACTGCCTCCGCCCATCTATGACTTAGGTAGACCAGAAGATCACCAGCTGACCTACCACGGCGAAAACAGTATTGGCGATCACTAATCAGCTGGTGATCCTCATGTTACCTCATGAGCTGGCAGTTAAC